CTCCCAAACACCGAATTTCTGGCCTCCCTCCCAGAGGTAGGGGCTCTGCGGACGCGCAGGCGTGGGATCCCGGCACGTTCTAACCTGCGCGCCTGCCGGCCTGGGCCTCGACGGCGCACACCGATTTCCGTATCCGGCTCCGGCCGCTCTCTGTCTTAGCCGGGCCCTTATAGCAGGTATGTAGGCATATGAATACGACGGGACGCTCACTGCGGCGTGAGCTGTCAATGTGCTCACCAAGTGCGCACCATTGAAACGGATTTCTCCCTGTCAGGGGTCTTTTCTTAGGGGGATAAAGTACTTAAGTGTGATGTATATGGAGATTCCCACCTTCTGGAGCCCATGGAAGGGAGTCCTTAGACTTGTATTTCTGTTCACAGATCCTGCCCTCAGGCACCTGGATATTCCAAAGGTTGTCTGTGCCTTGCAGCTTTCAAGAATACTTGGAGGTTGTCTATTTGGATGACGTTTTATAAAGCTTGTCTGTGATTTTTCAAAGAGTTGGAGCAATGGTGGGCCCTCCAGCCTCTTCAATTTGCAAATGAGACCAGAAGGAGGAAAATGAATTGTGGGACTTGTTATGCTCCAGGCCTCCTGCCTATCACTTCACGTTGCAGTGCAATCGTCTTTGTCTTAAGAGGTTACTCTGCTGTCTTAACTTTACTCCTTTGAGCCCAGTGGAGATCTGTTTTCTCTCTCTCTCTCTCTCTCTCTCTCTCTCTCTCTCTCTCTCTCTTTAAATCTCCCTCCAAGCGTTTGGACTCAATTATCAGGATTACTTTCTTCCACAGGTCACACTACAGACCTCCAGATACTGGTCTATGGGGTTCAGCCAAGAATGAGTCTCCTGTTCTTCTACCCATGAAGTGTTCTCCAGCTACTTTGCCAACATCCACAGTCATCATGTCTACTTTGCTCCTCAATCTGGATTTTGCGGAACCTCCTCCCAAAAAGGCCTTAAAGGGGAATTCCAAGCACCAGAGTTTTGTCAGGAAACGGCGGTTCTTGGAACAGAAAGGCTTACTGAAAAAGAAGAAGCAGGTGTCTAGAGTGCTCGCAGACACAGCAAAGAAAGAGGAAAGCCTCAAGGTAGAGGGCACTGGGAGAGTACCTCCACTACCTTACAAAAGAAAGACACCTGCCTCCAGCAGTGGGTCAGAACAATCCCTGGACAAGAAAATGGCAGTGTCCTGGCTGACTCCTGCTCCTTCACAAAAGGGTCATTCTGTTGCCACTAAAGTAGATTTCCTAGGGGAATTCCAGAGTGCCCTTCCAGAGATTAAGAGCCACAAAACCTCCCAGAAGAAACGTTCCCAGAAGAAACCCTCTCAGAAGAATGCCTCACAAAACTCTACTCTTGCTCACTCAGAGAATAACTCTGGAGTATCCCAAGAGATGCCAACAAAGATGGTGGCAGTTGACTGTGAGATGGTGGGCACAGGGCCCAACGGAAATATCAGTTCCTTGGCTCGATGTAGCATTGTCAACTATAATGGTGATGTACTTTATGATGAGTACATTCGCCCCCCCTGTCACATTGTAGACTACCGGACCAGGTGGAGTGGTATCCAAAAGCAACACATGGTGAATGCTACACCCTTCAAAATTGCTCGGAGCCAGGTAAAGGGTATAGGACATGCTCCTGCTACTAGGGTGGGTAGGGAGAAGTCATGGTCAGTTTTCAGCAAAGGGTATCATCCTGGGAAGGGCACCAAATGATGGTATAAGGAAGGAGTGGGATATTAGGTGAAGGTGGATTTGCTTTGTTGTGAAGAGTGATGAACAGCAGGAAGATGAATTACAATTAGCTGGTCTAACAGATTTGATTTGCTGTTAGCTGCCTCTTGAATTGCCCCCTCCCTGGAGTTAGTGACCCCTACCCACACTGTATGAAATGCTTCCAGATCTTGTGCCGTTCCCATCAATGGTGTGATCCATATCATTTTCATTGACTGATTTTTCAGAAGATTTCATTAGCCCACCTATTTAAGATCCCAAATGGAATCTTGACCTGAGCAACTGGGAATCTACCTAGGGAGATAACAGCCAGTATTGAAACTGGTTAGAGGGGCAGATATGACTGCCACGTGGAAGGACTTGGTTTGGGAATACATTGTTGACAGAGCACAAGTTTCAGAGAGAAGAGGTGGAGACAGGTGGCTTCTCAGCCTAAAGGAAGGTAGCACGTGAGTGTTGGAGGTTCATGGAATGAACTGGAGCATCTTTGTCTAACTGGGAGAGTTGGCCTGCATTGAAGCAGACAGATATTTTTTTAAAAAATTCCTTGTGTTTGAGGGAAAAACAAAAAAATGGATGCTCGAAGGTTCACAAGTGAGTAAGAAGGGAGAGGGAAAAAGGATCTGGGAGAAAGGTGACTTTGAAAGGCCTCCAGATGGCGCTCTTGGTCCATGACTTTGACACTTGCCCTCCAGTTTGTTCCAAGAGTCTTTATATTCCTGTGGAAGTTTAATAAGCAATGAAGCAAATTAGTGTCATTATTGGAGAGAAAATTAAGAGGAAAATAGAGTAAGTCTAGTCGTGGTGCTAGTTTTTAGAAAGGACTTGGAAGGAAAAGCTGAAGAACAGCTTGTGCATAAGGGACACAATTGGACCAAAGGCTCCTGCCACACACAATGCTCAAGCGAGAGTTGTTAAGACTAAAGTAAATACAAATGAGTCTGCCCCTTCAAAGGGGTCCCCTTGCTGGGCCATGTATATACACTAGGACTATTGCCTTAGTCACAGCCTATTTGGAACCTCACTTTTGGAAGCCATGGCACCTTTTTGTATTCTCATTGGTATCGTATCTTCATGCTTTAGGTTTCTGAAACGTTGATATTATTTGGGTCCAAACCTTGTGTGGCTTAAATGCCTAAGCAGCTGGTAACTGCACTGTGGCTATGAGCAGGAACTGTGAAGCAGTGATGCTGGCTTTCTGTTAAAGTAGCACACGTGTGGGTAACCTGATCACTTCCCTTTGCTTCCTCAGACTATAAGTGAATCTTTTATGTCTTGTAAACTCTCTGAGAATTTGAAGAAAGCATGGACATTCTCCATAAATATCTACACACATAGCATGTTTGTATAATTTTGGCCAGTTGGCTCTCTGGATCCCATCTTTGACTCCAAAGTTCACATGTCTCAGAGAAGTATAACAATAATGTTGAAAGGATTTCTATATGGCCAAGCTGCAAGCCAGTACTGAACTAGTTACACGAACATCTCAAATGTGTATGATTGAAGACTGGAAGCAGATTAGAGTCATTACTGGAGAGAAGATTAAGAGGAAATTAGAGCTGAATCCAGTCAGGGTGCACCATGGAATTTACCTGGTGCAAAGGAGATGGGTTTCAGGAGAAGGAAGGCTTGATGGAAAGAGAATTTCAGGGATTAGATAGGTGGGTAACTGGTGAAAAGAATCTAGAAAGACCAGTGGCTATATGGAGCTTTTAGGACATGGGGACTCCCATCTATGAGCTGGTTTTTTCATCGCCTTTTCTTTTGTACCTGTTTCAGATCTTGAAGATACTTGCAGGGAAGATCGTGGTAGGACATGCTGTCCACAATGACTTTAAAGCCATGCAGTACATTCACCCCAAGTCCCTCACCCGAGACACATCCCATATCCCTCTCCTCAACAAGAAGGCTGACTTTCCAGAGAATGTTACCATGTCTCTGAAGCGTCTCACCCAGAAGCTGCTGAACCGCGACATTCAGGTAGCCTCACTTCAGTGCTGTCTGACCTCTAGCTTGAGGGTCTCAGATTGTAGAGATCCAGGTGGGGCTGTTCTGATAGGAAGAGGCCAAGAATCCTCTCCTCATTTGTACATCAGGAATAAAATTCCTGGGTTTTGCATTTTTCTAGGAACTAAATGTTATTTGCCAGTGAGTCAGAACCAACTAATGAGTGACCCGTCAGTAGGTTTTCAGAGGCAGTGAGTCACGTGGGAGGAGACTGCCTGTCTTTCTTCCTGGCAACTAAATTAGAACACTTTGGAAAAGAGGAAAAGAAATTATCCAGAGTGAGAAGAAAAAAAAACGGTAGATAGATTTCAACCTAGTACGAGAAAGTCATTAACCAGTGGAGCCAGTGGTTGGGAAGGCTGCCTTGTGAGGTACTCCTGCAGGCACTTTATAAATAGGGGTTGACATCCTGCTGTTAGGTAGGTGTTACTGAAGAGATTCCATCATTGTATTCAGCTCCATGATTCCCCAGTGTCCTTTCCATATCTGAGAGCTTCTACTTTCTCATAAATTATAGAGAAACACCTGTTTCCAGACTCCTTAGAGCTAAGGGTCAGAATCTCTTGGGAAAAGGATTTAAAAGACATGCAGAGTTTTTGACCTCTCTGTTCTCTCACTGCAGAATGTGACATATATGTGTTACAGTAGCTTCCTGTAGTTAAACTTAGGGAATTAAGGAATAGGGACAGGGCCCCACTAGCATCCCTGCAGAATAAACTCTGTGTGGGTGTGGAGGGGTAGGAGGTGGTGGTGGAGAAAGTGCGAGAAAATGTTATATGTAAGACCATGTTATATGTAAGACCGAGGTGGTGAGTAGTCTCTTGTGCATTCATCTTTTCTTCCTTCATTATTTAGGTTGGGGACAGTGGGCATTCCTCTGTGGAAGATGCTCAGGCCACCATGGAACTGTACAAGTTGGTTGAAGTTGAATGGGAACAGCACCTGGCGCAGAATCCCCCCGAGGACTAGCCCGCGGTCTGGACACTAGTCACGTCTGGAGGCACAGTCAGCATCCAGGCGAAATGGACCAATGGACAGCTCCGCTGGCCCCACCCCACTGGGAGCTAGGCAGGTTTCCTGCACTTAATATCCATTGAAACTTTACCTCAGGTGTTGTTTTGTGTCTGGTTAAGTCTCCCATGTGGAAGTGAGAACCCCTCCATGTCAGAACCCAGCCACATACAGTTTACCTCTTAAATGGTGCTAACAGCGGGGCCCAGTCAGTCATTTTGACTCAGGGTGTAGGATTTACCAGAAAAGTTATTTCCCCAACTGCCTTATCACTAGGGTGGCCATAAGTCCCAGTTTATGCCTCTTTGTCCTCCAGTAATTAATAGCTCGACAGCACCTAACAACAACAATTAACAGTGTGTTCTTACACTCTCAGAAGTGTCCTGGTTGGGTGGTTAAGTTGACGGTCACATTACATATCACAGATTCTGCCTTTACCTCGGAACCTCCATCTGGCCTGTGACTGGATATGGCCAGTTCTTCTCACATTGACTTCCAGAGGAACCATTCCTGTGGCGTTTTACTTCTCTTTAGGGCTCTAAGCAGTAGAGTTAAGAAAGCATAGCTTAGAAACCCAACTTTTCTAATTTAGGAAAGCAATTTCTTTCCTAAGGATTTATTTCATTCTCGTCCCTCTTTGAGGCTGAAAAAAGAATTTAAAGTGTTTTTATGATTTTTAATCTTTCACTTTGCTGAACCATGATGCCCCTGAAGTCACAAACTATCCCTTTGATAAAATTTTACAATGAAGAAACAATTGTGTGGTGTTTCGTTTTTAATTTTATGTTCAGTAGCTTTGGGGCAGCTCTTGTATGGGCAGGTTCCCAGGGGTTATAGGTGGCACTAGCTGCAGCTTTGTGTTCTAGACTCATGACGAAGCCTTTATGTGGAACCCAGGTGCTTCGGTATGTTGTCCCTATCCCCACCACAAATCCGTGAGCACACCCAAAATGACAACCCAAGCCTCACACAGGAGAGTTGTGTAATGAGTGAATCAGAGAGTGGGCATGTGGGAGCGACATCTGGGAGGGTGAGTGCTGGGTTACACCACCCTGGTGTTAGCTCTTCCGCAGTGGTTCAGATCTCCATCTTGGGACGATGAGTCATGGGTCTGACCCTGTGCCTAGGTGTCTGCTCAGATGAGTCATGGGTCTGACCCGTGCCTAGGCTCACTGCCTTGATAGACAATACACAGACTATGTACATACAGGAGGACTTGTGTCCTCTTAGAGTGGCTGGTCTGGTTCCATGGGCCAGAGACAGAGTCAGGGCTGCTTGGAGAGGGAATTTCCAGAACCCGGTCATGGCCTTGCTGTTGGCGTCCTGCATTGCAGGATCTGCTTGCACAAGTAGCTGTTGAGCACTGAGCAAGTTGGTTCCTGCTGAGCCCAGCATACGTCTTGACTATTCAGAGGTACCAGGTGTGTTCATAGCAGCTCTGAGAGCAGGTATCTTAGGGCACATCAGAGAGGGACTGCACAAGGGAGCAGCTACAGTGAGAAAACAGCTGCAACAGTCGCTGTTGGGTTCAGTTTCTAGGTTGGTGGAAAAAAATTGATTCTTAGGATCTATAGGATCTACTTTCCTCTAACTGCTATTAAACAAGTACTATTATTGTATGTCACTACTCAAATTTAAACCATTTGCTATATTTATCCAGGGTCCTTCAGATTAAACCAAGTAGACAAGCTAGAATTTCTTGCTACTTTTTTCATGTTACATGCTGTCCAATCAGAACTGACTCCTAGCTGACCCTCCAGCAGGTTTTCAGAGGCTATAAATTGCATGGGAAGAAGTTGATCCTCTTTCCTCATGGAGAAGCTAGTGGATTTGAACTGTGAGCCTTTGGATTGGCAGGACAATTCCTCACCACTAAGCCACCAGAGTTCTCTATTCTTTGTACAGAATAATGATGTTTTCTAATATTAAGAGACTCCCTAGTTCAAGTGAGACTTAGGAAGGGGCAAGAGTGTGAGAATCAACCCTATCCTGTTGAAATTACTAGTACTTTTTTATTTAGATGGAAATTTCCACAGCAAATTTATTTTCCATTCAACAGGTTATAACACATTTTGATTCATGATATTTTCAGTTCGACAATGTAACTTTTTTCCCACTTACTCTAAATGCCATTTCTATTCATCTTTTCCTATTCATTCCTTCCTCCTAAGTTTTCTTCTTTGGCAAATGCTGCCCTTTTGATGTCTTTTGATTGATTGTTCTAATGGGTCCATGCCTTCCTTGTGTTACTTTGTGCCTACAGGTTTGTCTATTGTTTGGCTAAAAGTTGAACCACCACAAGGGTGACTTGAAAGGTGACTAAGGTTCATATTCTAGGAGCAGGAGGAAGCTATGTTCCATCAGTCTCATAATCAGACCAATAAACAACGTTTTGTAATGATTCTGAATTTGGTTCCATGTTTTTCTCTCTCTAGAACCTTCCACCATGATCCCATCTAGGACAGTTGGCAGTGGTAGCCCAGCATCATCTACTTCTGCTCACATGAGGCTGGGGTTCACGTGGTCCATTAAATCTTGGGGACTAATTGTTTCCATATGTCTTTGATTTCTTCCGGCTTCTTTACTCCGGATGGGGAGAAACCAATAAATCTTTTAAGACTCCATTTGGGACTCATCAAAGGAAGTTGTAGAACATTGTCTGGGTGGACTAAATTGTTCCAGTTGACCTAGATGTCCCCTAAGACTCTCATCCCGAGACCCCTAGTTCCAAAGACTTCTTTCCAAGTGTTTGGTTATGGCTAAGGAATTTTTCATGGCCTTGCCTCTTCTGTACAATCTGCTGTATTTATGGATATTCTTATAGCAGCTCAGAAAGGTGGAGGGTCAAACTGACACAGTGACTGTAACAGTGCACTCGAGCATCTTGGAGATCATGAGGATAGAGCACGATAGGGAAAGATTCAGATCTGTGTTCATAGGGTTGTTAGAAATTGTAGTTGACTTGATGGCATCTAACAACCTCAAAGACATAACGTAGAAATTTCCTCTAATTGTGAGTATACTCTCATTCGCCTTCCCACTCATAATCAGCTTACATGTTTGTTTATCCACTCACCAATTATTTATATGACTGTTATTGCAGTATTGAGTATGTAGTATTTACCCTTTTTATTAATTTTAAAAATTTTATTATTGTTTTGTGTGTGTACTATCAAATCGGATCTGACTGGTACAGAAGGAGATTATCCTTCCTTCTCCAGCAGAGCATCTGGTGGATTTGAACTGTGCACCTCTGGGATTGCAGTGTAGCTTCTTGCCACTAGGCCACCAGAGCTCCCTTTTTTTATTAATTTTAATGAAAGTTTAGAAAGACTTAGGGTTTCCAGTTATTCATTGTTGCACTTTTCTCCCTACCCACCCCCTCCCCCGCAATTCACTCTTCTTGAAAAGTAAAAGGAAAACTCTTTCATTGTTACATAATCCCTTCCCCCAAGTCCACTGCACTGCCTTCATTCTGGACTCCTGTCATGACAATAATACTTAATCATATATCCCTTTTAAACAGTTCTCTCCCTCATCTGTTGCAATGCAATATACATCATTTCTCCCCTCCTTTTCTGTCTTCCCTCAACCCCAGTGTCAGTCCTGTTTTACAATAGTGGCCATATGCAATATTTGTTCTTTTGTGACTGAGACATTTCACTCAGCAAAATGTCCTCCAGGGTCACCCATTTTGCATAATATTGCATGAGTTCCTTGTTTTTCAATGCAGCATAGTATTCCATTGTGTGAATATACCACAGCTTCTCTATCCATTCGTTTGTTGATTGGCACCTAGGTTGTTTCCAACCCTTTGCTATTGCAAACAAAGCCTCAATAAGCATAGGTGTACATGAGTATGTAGTATTTATCTCTATTGATTTTTCAACTGTTGTGTTCTTCCCAGTGTCTTCATTTACTATGATAATTCTGTGCTGACCTCCATCTATTGTATATTGGCTTTTCCTTCATCCAAGTTAATGTGTTTACTCTCTAGTTAGTGATTCACCTTCTCACTCTCATCTCTGGTAACCTTCAACAAATGTTTGTTTCTGTGAGTAAAGTTTCTCTTGAAGTAGTAAGTAAATAGAACACTATTCTGTGAGTAAAGTTTCTGTTAAAATAGTATGTAAATAGAACAATATTTGCCCTTTTATGATTGGCTAATTTCAGCATAATGACCTCTAGGTTCATCTATACGATGAAGTATTGCACAGAGTCACTGTTAGCTTTTAACTGTGCTTTGTTTTCCATAGTGCATATAAACAAACTTGGGGGAGTCTAAAACTGTACTTAATGAGAAGGGGCTCAAAAGGGGAAGGAGCGTGTGATTTGAGATTTCAAGTGGCAGTGTTGTGCCTTCTTCCACACTTAGGAACGAACCACTAGTCCAGGACAACCTCCAAGGAGGAATAATTTGATTTCTAATTCTAACATGATTACAGCCGACAATAGGAAAGATCAACAGTACTATAATTATGACCTGCCCCAGGGCACATTAGCTCAAGTTCAAGGTTAGAGGGGCAGATACTCATGTATGCAATATGCCAGGTGCATCTGTGATCTACAGCTGTAGTCTCTGTGTTATAGTTCACAAAGCACTTTCACTGACTGTTCTGTGGAGCAACTCTACTGAACAGTTGACAGTTTAACAGCAGATTATGCTGTATTGAAACTGGATCCCAAGTTTGATTCTTTCCACTGACTAAATGTGAAGAAGTCGTCTAGTCTTTTGGAGACACGGATTCTCTCTAACTTTGGTGATTAACAGATGGTTGCTGTTGTTAATAACAGTGTTACTGAGTTATTTGAGTGTTCCTCTGTGCTAGCAGTCTTTGTGTGGTACAAACAGTTAAGATTTTGGCTGCTAACCAAAAGGTTGGCTGTTCAGATCCACCCAGAGGTGCCTTGGAAAAAAGTCCAGGTGATCAACTTGCAAAAACCCAGCCGTTGTAACT